AGCCCTGCGCTGGACTCTCTCCAGCAGCTCCACATCCCTCTTGTACTGGGGGCGCCCAGAAGTGGGCACAGTACTCCAGATGTGGCCTCTGGTTTCATGTCCCATTTCAAGAAGTGACACAAGAGGTCCAGATGTTTAAAGCAACCAGAAACAGGGTTTTACAGAAGAAAGAGTGAATGCATTTGACATATTAAGTTGCTGTCAGACTTGTGTTTTCTTTACCTGGCTGTTTTGCTAGGATTTATGTAGGTGAACCCAGCCTACTCTGCCTACTTGTTGCAAATACATTTCTGCAGAGACACTGGGTTATTATTCTTTCACTGGGGTTATAAGAATTTGGATTTGTCAGTGTAACAGCATCCATGTCTATAATTTTTCCTTGAAGTAAATTGCAGATATTACACATCTAATGTTAAAGTAGTGGTCTCCATGCAGAGAGACTTTGGATCAGTTCTGCTTTACAGTTTAATAGTAGAAAAAAATATTAGAATGTTTTTAGTCTTCAATTTATACATCTATAAAATAAGACTAATAATAGTTTTCTGTCTTAGTGAAGTGCTCTAAGGAATAGCTGCTTGTTAATTTGTGCAAAGAGCTGCGACCCAGGTACCTCCTTTGCTTACCCAGACTCAGAACTGGCCATACACTTTGCATAACCTAGTAGACAGGGGTGCTGTAGGAGGTTCTCTGACTTTTTTCCTGCCCTAAGTCAAACTCATCAGTCTCTGACAGAGGTTCGATAACCTGTTCTTGAAAATCTCAAGTGATGGAGATTCCACAGCCTTTTTTAGGTAACTTATTCTAGTGCTTATTCCCTGTGTTTGCTGGGGGCAAGTCACATAAGCTCTTGCTTCAGCTTTCTCAGCTGTAACACGGGATAATGGTGTTTGCCTGCCTGTCCCACAGGGCTGTATTCGGGGGCAATTAGATCACAATTTCTACGCTCAATGTATTTTACAAATGTTATGTGAAAGCAAAACATAGTGGAAGAGACTTGGAGTTTCTTATATTGTTAGGTTCTGTAGAAATAATCGGTAAATGCTTGCTAGAATTCCTAAAAGATATTTTTACATGATGATTTCTTAGGAGAGTAAAATATATGTTTGTATTATATGCATAAATACTTATATGTGCATAGATCCATATATATATATATACACACACACACATGCATGTGCATATATAGTTTTTTGTCATTACTAAGTTGAACAACCTCTTTTCTCAGATTCTTCGGTATTCAGTCCAGGAAAATCATCTTCTGCTGTTAACTTAAGTGGAACTCAAGACCCGTCGCGGAACAAGAACATTGTGAAACCGCTGGCTTTGTCGGTACAGCTTGTAGGAAAGGCCTTTGCTGCAGGTAGCCCTTCACTTTGCAGGGTAACTGAGAGCCAAGGGAATTACCCGCTTAGCAGGCAAGAAATAAGGGAATCATATCTTTGGGAGGAAAAAAAACCCCAAATATTCACTAGTGTTTCCAGAGCTCAATGTGCAGAGGACTGAAAAAATATGACAGTTCTGGAAAGTTCCTTGACTAAACTGAGCCACAGCTTGATTTTCTTACTTTATAAGTATGCATTATTATAGTTAAGTGTTTGAACAGAAGAAAAAAAATAAACTTTTTTTTTGCTTTCTATATGCATGCACATGAGCATTATGTTTTATACCTAGTGGATTATGTATGCTATTTTATACAATACACATTGTTGTATATACATAATATAGACAGTATGCTGCATATAATTGATACACTATGTCAAACAAATCATTAAAACTGTCCTGTATGTAAGATACCAGCACTCACAGTATTTCAGATGAGGAAAACCTGTACTTTTTCCCTCCATGCACGAGGAAGAGTAGATTTTGTCATGCACTCAGATTACTTCTCACGATTTCAGCCAGTTCCATAACTGACCCACAGCAACCCTATCTATCCGCTCCAAATCATGAATCCAGGATACCACTAGAGAGCTTGCAGGTGGCAAGTGCAAAATTCAGGCTTTCCTAATGGTCAGTTTGGAAGTCTTATGCCTTTTTTTTTTTTTTGGATGTCTGTGGTTGTAAAAGAAAAAAAAGGGTGCCATTACCTTGTTTTAAGCCATATTCCCTTCCTGCAGACATCCCCTGGCACAGCTGATGTCAGCCAGCTCTTGGGCCCTCTCTGGGTGCTGCTCCTGGAATATGTTCCTCGGAGTCCAGTCCCTGTGGAACTGACATGTATGCAGAGGAGCTGTAGCCCCCCTGAGCACTGTTTCAATCCTATGCAATTTATGCCATTTCTTTTTTCCTTCTGCAAAATCTAGACTTAAGAATAGAATAAGATGGAGTGAAATACTGAGAGGATATAAATTCTTGTGATCCTCTGTTTTTGTACTTTCATTTCATGATCTGGATATAGCAGAGCCTGCTAAGGTGTCAGGTCTGTGGGACTGGAGGATTGTCTGAGACAGAGGCAGCAAAATTAAAGATGATTTGCAATACAAGCAATACATGCCCAGAGCATGAACACATTACAATACAGTAATGTCCAGAGCAGTGCAGCAACCTATCCTCTCTTCATGTCCAGGCTGCCTTGCAAAGCAATCAGATTAGAGCCCTCTAGTGAGTTATTGTGCGTGATGTGGGCAATTGGGGGGTAAAAAATATAGATGCAGCAAAGTGGCCAAGAAATCTTTCTAAGCTGAACTCATGATGGGCATTAAAAACAAAACAAAGAAGTGAAAAAATACCTGTTCCTAACAAATGTATCACAAAATTCCCAATTCTTTTCTGTGTGTAATTTTTTGTTTTGCTTGGGGATGGGCTTGTGGTTTTTTTTTTTTTTTTCCTTCGACCTAATCCTCCCCACCCTGAAATCTGCAAATCTTGCAGCAAGATCAGAATTTTGCCACCTGTGTTCAGATGATTTCCTACCCAGGACCCTGCATGCTTTCCCTGCAGTAGGTTTCACTCCTCCTGCCCCCTCAGGGTGCGGGAGTGTGTGGGGGGGTTCTGCTGCCCTCTTATTTTGTTTGTTTGTTTCAGGAGTGACTGAATCCTCACCCTCTGTGTCCTATTATGTTCTCAGCTCCCCTGTCACTGCGAGCCACCGACGTTGCTAATGGAAACGCTAATGGAGGCAGAAACAACACACTCAGTTCCACGCTCGCTCGGCCTGTGCCTCACTCAACGTCCCCGAGCCCCAGCAGTGCAGCTGGAGACCAAGGTGAAGAAAACCTGTTCCTTTATTTATAGCTGCACTAGCTGTTGAGCCTGAAATTTGAATTTATTTTAATTCCCGTTATCGCTGTTTCTGCAATTTGGGCTTTATCGATGCATTTGCCTTCTGGAATGAGCTTGTGAGTGTTGACCTTATGGTCTTTAAAACAAGTAGTAATGTTTATCACCTCACAGTCTGGCCTCAGCTGTATGTAAACCTCTGGAAGCCAGCGGAGTTATAACAACTCAAAATCCATGTGAAGTGGGAACGTGGGCTGGAGTCTGGTCTCTTTGGGAGGATGACACTGAGCATGAGGTTTTGCTTTTGTTCTCAGCATCCATGTCTAGTTCTGGGCCACCAAAGAAGCGACACCGGGGATGGTCTCCTGGGTCCCCAGTGCCTCCTCCTGGCTTAGTGGTACCTGTTCCTACGATTCGGCCTTCGGCAAGAGCAGGTAAAACTTTAATCATTTGTTAGGAGGTGTAGAGGCTGGTCTCGTTGCCCAGTGCTGCTCTTGTAAGTGTTGCACTGAACACATCATTGTGCCTGGGTGCCGTGGAAGGTGTCTTAGGTGTCCCAGAGAAGCACACTGGATGACCCAATCCTTGTTTCCATAATCTAAGATGGGACAATGAAAAAATGAAACTATTGGAGAAGAGGAGGAAGGGAAGATAGGAATAGTGTTAATAGGGACCCAAAGCTATCTAACGTCCCTAAATGCTACAGAAACCACACACTCAGTTCCTGCTCAGGAAGGAGGGCCTTATATAATTTTGGCCTAATGGAGGTCACTGTCCACTTTATTATCTCTAGCTAGAAGGATACAATTTGTGATACCAAACATCTAGTGTGCCTAGAGAAGCTCTGGGAGAGGTATGTAATATTGTCCTGTGAAACAGGATTACAAACCAGTATGAATACCCATCTCTGTGTGTATGTATGTACCTCTGTTCATAACTTTTAATCAAACTGTTCATTACTGAAACACTTCTCAGTTGTGAGATTGGGAATACTTTGTAAAGGGAAATAAACAGTTACTTTTCTCTGCTTCTACAGAGTGGGAGAATAAATATACAAGGGGAAAAAACACATTTATCATACTACACAGTGTTACCTCTTTGGAGGGCTTGGTTTTGACGTATTTTGGAATTCATTTTCAGAAGTATTCACGTTGGGAAGAAGGGGTGCTTGATACTGTAAGCCTGTCTACTTGAGCACCTCAAATGAGTAGGAACTTTTGTAGATTTCTGCCTCAGAGACTTGCTGAAGATGTGTGATCCGAGGCAACCTCCTCCTTTTGGCTCAGTTAATCTCAACAAATCTGCTCCCTCATCTGTGTGCTCCATTTGCTGTGTGTACTTTCAGTTTTCTAGCTAAAACAGATGCGTGTGTATGTTTGTTCATGCTACCCATGATGCTTTTTTTTAGATCGTGTTGTTTGCAAAATCTGTTGTGAAGAACCATTGAAGTCTGAGAAATTTTTGAAGGAAGTCTTGTACCAAAAACCTGGACAGATTACTAAATTCTTGAGCATGGTTTCCTGTTACTGTGAAAACTGCTGTTTTTCTTTCACGGATAACGCTTAATCTTTTAAGCGTTAAAGCAATTATCTTTCTAATGTGATAGTTGCCAAGAGGGCAGGTTTGAGATTTTGGCTTTCTAAACTGCGTATAATTTATGTCAAATTTAGAGCTGTCACTTCCATATATCCATTGACTGGTGGTGTTGAGAGGTAACCTCTGTTCTAGAGGTGGCCTTTTGGCTTCGTACTTGGCTTTGTTAGACGATGCATATTCAAGCTTGTGTTTTTCTCTCCAATTCCCACCAGCAATACAGTAGTCAGAAAAAGTTTTATTTTGGGGGTGGGCCTATAGGAGGATATAGGCTCTCAATTTAAATTACTTAGAACTATAGCAGGAAATGCAGAGCCCTTTTGAATTTTATTACAGTTAGTGAGCTCCAGTTATTTTTTTCTTCATTTGTTCATACGGCCAAATCACAGTATGAGCCTTTTAATAATGGAAGCTTTTCTTTTCTTTATTTTACAGAGCCTCTTTTGTCAGTCCCAGTTCCTCAATCCATGTTAACTGGAATTTTACAGCCTCAACCCATCCCAGCAGGGGAGACTGTAATAGTTCCTGAAAACCTGCTGAATAACTCAGGAGTCAGACCAGTGATTCTGATAGGTGAGTCTTACACTGGAAAATAAAATGTTGCATTTGCACAAATGCATGCTCTAAGAGAAAAGGGTTTGTTCTGTTTCTTTTTGTTGATTCTGGCATGTGAGATTCAACCACTTAAATTTCAGTACAACATGAAATCAGTTTGTCATGGATAGTTTACTTTAGTTGCTCTACATCTAAAATAGGAAGTTGATTTCCAAGAACCTGATTTGCAAATTGATCATTACTAGGTCAAATTTATACAAAACCTCCGACCAAATTAAAGTTTTGTGCAAGTAAGATTTGTGCAAAATCCAATAATAGAAATATTCCCAGGAAATGAAAACAACTTTCCAATATAAACAACTTACAAAACAACCCAATATTTCCTGCAGCATTTATAGTCCAGCTCTTGAAGCCCAGAGATTCTGCATGAGAACCAGAAAGTCGATTCTGAACTAATCAGAAGTGAATCCGAGTAGCTTTTTGTCTTTTATAGTCCCAGTCTTGTTGTAAGGATCATATATAAACAGCAAATCAGATCTTTAAAATCTTTTAGCTGTATGAAGTGCATTGTTTTACTTTAAACATGCAGCTTGTACCATGAATATACCTTTCCAAATGAACTATTTGGGAACAATATATAGAAACACAAGTTGACCACTACTGCCAACATTCTGAGGAGTGATTTCTGGCACCTTTAAAAGCTTTTCGGTTTCCAGGAGAATTCATAGGGCCGTTTATATGAGAAAGAACCTCAAGGTTAGCGTTGCCCTCTTTTGTTTGGTTTTATTTATTTTTGTTTTCTGGAAGCATATTCTAAAGCCCTACCATGTCTGTCCTACTCAGAGCTACAGTTCTGTGTTAGAGGAGGGCACCTACGTCAGCTAAAGTGCCATCTCAGAGCAGTCTCTGGAGAGTAGCCAGCAAAGTCCTCAGTTAGGCTAAACATTACTGAGGCCCCTGAGAAACAGTGGCCTATGAATAGTACAGAATCAGATGTACCCAAATTGATGGGTTTGGTAAAATCTATATGTAAATTTATTTGAATGAAAACATTCTCCAGAAGAGCTAGCCTGGTCTCTGTTCTGCTTTACTTTGCAGAAGAGCTTATTTGGCTGTTGGTGTTTGTTAAACTTGTTCATGAAAACAGAATGTAAACGCAGCAGAAAGGTGAAATTAATCACGGCAGTACACAGTGCCTGAATCAATGCTAATGTGACTTATGTTGCTTTTGTAATGTTAAGATCAATGTAATATGCTTCTATTGATTTTTTTTTCTTTTTTTTTCGTATTATGTATTTAAAGGTTAGAGTAAGACACAAAAGAGACAATATTCTCATTTGCCTTTGGATAAAAGTAGTTATTATCCTGATGGTATGCAATTAATCGTTAGTTTTCACAAATCTTTGTGATCATTTGTTGTAATATGCAGCAAGGACCACCTACTTATTTATTTTTATACAATGATTATGTCAAGAGTGGTCAGTGATGCAATATCTTTTGCAAGGTGACATGAAGTACAAGTTTGGGAATCTTTTGCTCTCTAAGCTTTCACGTAGTAGCATATTTTGAGAATCTTTAATTTTGTCTTTGGTTTTCTTTTTTGAAGGTTATGGCACTTTACCTTACTTCTATGGCAATGTTGGTGACATTGTTGTGAGCCCCTTGCTGGTGAATTGTTACAAGATTCCGCAGCTGGAGAACAAGGATCTGGATCTCCTGGGCTTGACCAGCAGCCAGCTGTTAAGTGTGGAGAATATGATACTTTTAACTATTCAGTATCTTGTCCAACTAGGTAAGCCATTTGCTGCAAGTGTGTCAGTTTTTGTTTGTGACTGTATTTTTTTTCCTCCCCTCCCACTTTATTTCTGTTTTAGAGCCAATTTTAAGGCTATCTGTTTTGTGTCTGGAAGAGGTAAGTGGCTCCATCTAGTGTGTGTGACTTCATGCCTCAAATAGAAGTGAAGTGTATTTAAAGGCTCATCTTGCCTCTGCCTCCATATGGGGATTGACCAGGTCACCTTTGTGAAAATGCAGTCCCTTTTGCAATGCAAATAACTCATTTGCTTAGAGTATCAAACCATCAGTTACCACAGGCTTTTCTAAGGACACTCAATCTGTTTTATTCAGCCTCATGACAAATGCTGGCAGATGTGTGGTGGTCATCATTGTTTTGGTGACAGCAACGTTTACATGAAAGCCGCATTTGTTATTCAGGCTGGGGCAAGTTATTCAGTGCATATCTCATTCTAGCAAGTGTATTTGAAATGGACCCTTTGGACATTTGAGGGCAAACCAGCAAAAGATACTTTATTTTTCTTTTTGCAGGTCTAGATTTTTTTCCCTACCTTACAGTAAAATACAGAAAGATTTTAGAAGCCCAAGAGTAAATCAGGATTAGAAGCTCTAACAGCAGTCTTTATGCTTTATATTTGAAAAAGGTGCAGCTTATCAACGAGGAACATTCAGTGACTTTTGTGAAGAGCACCCTGTTTTTTTCTATACCAGATAAACTGGGCTTCTGCTAAGGCTGCTATAATACAAGATAGCAAAATATCTTGAAATATGCAAGCATTTCAGAAGAGATACAAGTAGTCATAGTGGTATAATCTGGGGAGTAAGTGCATTCTGTTTAGGCTTATACCATGTGTTTTTATGCTGTGCTGTTCCCTGCTGATGCTATGCTGTTGCAGATGAGAAGCAGGCTATGTCTTGTGTGCGTGTGAGCTGTCTGCGTTATTTACCATCCGCTACTGGGAAAGAGCCCTAATATGGATGCCAAGCTGGAACTGACGAAAGATTTCCCTTTACTGGCTGAATATTTATTTTTCTTGCCTTTCTCTCAGTGCTCTTAGTTTAAGTGAGCTTTTCCTCTTCATTGGAAAGCATGTTACGTGCCTGTTAAAACCATACACCTCTGGATTGATTCTGGTTTGGAAGAAGCAGCTCACAAATTTCCTTCAAAGACGCATGTAGTCAGCCAATACAGCATTCCAATTTATATTTATAAATATTTATTGATACTTTTGGAGCAGTCAGGGAATTGCATTCCATAATCATTGATGAGGGTGACCTTAGGTAGGTGTTCAGTCCAGACTTGCTGCAAGCTAATGCATGCCTTATGCAAAACGTCTGGAATTCAGCTTCACTGTGGCTAATAAGCACCATGTCTCAAGCATAAAGAAGTTCTCTTATTAGTAGGTGCTTGCCCAGGCTTTTGTTTTTATCTGTGCAAAACTGAATGTTTTTCCATTTGACCTTATGTGGAGTTAGGCACCAGCACTATGAAAAGAAAAGCTAAAACATTCTGAAGAGCATCATGATCAAAACATGTCTGTGGTTTTAATACTGCTGCACACTTCAAACTGTTGGCAGAGTGACACCACGCTGAGCTGTAGCCTTTACCCCAGGTTGTAAAATCAAAGCAGATTAAAGACGAATGGAGGACAACCAGATTCAAAAGATTCTGACAGGAAGGAACCGGGACAAATATGCATATAAACTCAGTTTGTTCATGTGAGCCTCTTTTTCTTCAGAAAGTAAGACTAAAAGCATGTATTTTTTTTGCCAGAATATATTGCATGGTAGAGGCAAAGATCTGAGAAGCTGTCAGAAGAATGCCATGGCCTAAATCTTGCTTAATTTTTGCAAGCTGCAAAGTTTACCTGTACAAAATATTTTTGCATATGACTGTCTGTGATTCCAGATCCTAACAATGTTATTTATGAAGGTACACTTTTTTGGAAAAATGATATATCTGAGAATTTCTTTCAGGGTTCCCGAAAGAGTATAACAACATTGTGATGTGCGGGAGTGTGCCATTGTGGTTTTTGAAATCAGTCTCACAATGATAATAAAAATTAAAACAAACAATGTGTATACCCTTTTAAAGCTTTTCTCTTACATCTTCTGTGAAAATTGTATTGCTTTGCATAAATTCCTCTGATTATGATAAAGGAGTAACTAAAAAAGATCAAGGAGGGTGTCCAATTTTTGTGGGTTTTGTTACAGTCTGTTTGCAGTATTTCCATAGATTACACATTCATTATCTTTGGCAGCATTCCGAGTTCACAAGCTTGATTCTATACCTCAAAATGCTTCTTTGTGGGCTATATGGTGAAATATGTCTGGTGAGAAGTAGTGGCATTTGAGTATGTTGCACTTAAATTATGGGTGCTTTTGAAATCATACCTGCATTAAGATCTTTCATAGATTAATTCCCCTGTTTTTCCCGAATATTTGTTCTGTGGAAAGCTTGCCAGGAATCCAGTGTGATACTAAAGCTAAACTCACAATATTTCTTTATCGGAGCATTTCTGACAATTAACTTTATTTTTCTTGTCAATCATCTGAGTGAAATTCTGTGTTGTTCTCACACAGAAATGTGAATAATATGAACAGTTATGTGAAGAATTTTTAACAGTGAATTAGGATAGTTCAACATCATTTTGAGTCCTTGTAAGTTTTTATGGTTTGGGGGTTCTTTCCATTTGTACAGTTATTTTCATCTTTCTTGGGTTTGTGTTGATCTCTCTGTCTAGAGTCTCTCTCTTAAGTAACTTCCCTCACTCAGCAAACGATTGCCAAATATTAATAACAACTTGATTGTTTTAGTCATGTTGTAGATAAGTTTTATTTTTACAGACGTTTTTTTTCATGCTTCTAGATTTTCAGAGTTCTAGAATGAATGATATTTTTGACGTCTGGAACAGTGAAACAAACTAGAAGGGAAGAGAAAGTTTATTTTCCCAGAAGGAGAATTGTAGAGGGAGCGCTCTGCCCTGCGGAGTTAAATGAGACTCAGCAAAACTTTTCAGTTGGCAGCAAAAGGGAAAGCTCTTGTGTTAAGATCCTCTAGATGGATGGTCACATAGGCTGCATATGCCCTGCCTCTCACGTAACCTTTCTGTTTCCACCCCCTTGGCTTGTGTTTCCTGGTCTTGAAAAAAAACATAAACAACAAATAAGCATTTCACATATCTCTGGTGTTTAAGCCCCCTGCTTTTTGTCATAGAAGAGCAAACTCCTATGGTGTGAATCTGTCTCCTCTGGCACTGACATGGGATCTTGGCAATGTGAAGTGTGTTCCACATTCATGTATATTTGTCATTTGCCCCTGAGTAGGCATGAAAATGAGATGAACCTTAATAAGAAAAATGTTAGTTGAAACTGAGTTGGCAGAAGTGATGCTAAGATAAGAATTTTGAATTTCTATTTTCCAATTTAAATTCACAATATAGTTCAGAGAAGTCCCTGCCACTTAGACCCTGAGTTGCATAGACGTATCCTTCTCAGTGTTGGGAGTCTGAATATTTGATAAAATAAGCTGTAAAAGAAAACACTAAACATCCTCATTTATGCCGTGGTTAGTCTGGTGGTATTGTATTGCTGTACATAATGCAAGATGAGTAAACCCAAAATGCAGCCTGGCTGACAGGTGCTGCGCTGCAGGAGGGTGAAGCCGCTGGGCTTTTCCCTCTAAGCACGTGCGGAGACTCCAGCTGGAGATTGCTGTTCCAGGTGAAAGGCACCTGTTCTGCCACCCCTTCTCACCCGTTTCTGAGGGTAGAAAAGGGAGGAGTAAGGAAGGATCCTTGTTTCTTAAAAAGATGAGGGAAGGAAGGGAGAGAGGCCTCTGATACTGCAGAACACGAATATGCCATTTGGGTAGGTACATGTTGTGTGTGGGAGTACAGCTTTTAAATGCAAAAAGGAGCTTTAAACTGTAAAGAGCATATTAAATCTAAACAAACAAGTGATTTTTTGCTGGTTCAATAACAGTTTGATATGAGATACCAATCTTTTATCTGTTTGTTTTTAATGCAGGTCCTGACCAGATCCCCCTGAGGGAAGAATTTGAGCAGATCATGTTGAAGGCCATGCAGGAGTTCACGCTGCGCGAGCGCTCCGTGCAGACGAGTGCCCAGTGTGGCGCCGTGGCCCCAGGCCAGCTCCCGTGGCTCGCGAGGTTGATCGCCAGCGTGTCCCGAGACCTGGTGCACGTGGTGGTCACCCAGAACTCCCTGGCAGAGGGCATCTCGGAAACTTTGAGATCTCTCAATGAAATGAAGCATCAGCAAAAGCTGCCCGATTATGTTGTTGCCATTTGTGCCTCAAAGATCAGAGGAAATGAATTCTGTGTCGTAGTCCTAGGTAAGTACATGTGCAATATGCTTCACGTACAAAGGCAGTTTTGCGGACTGCATTTTCTCAAGTTGTTCTTCCAGCTTTTCAATTTCCATTTTTAAGTCACACACTAGTTCTTTTTGTTCCACCTCGTACTGCTACACGTAATGTCACAGTTTACCCCTTCCTTCATGAAGAATTTGAGTGCTGATGTCCGTGAGGATTTAGGAAAATAATTGTATGTTTTCAGCCACATTCATTTAGGCCCCTTGAGAGAGTCCTGAAACCTTATTCTCTGCGTGACTGCCTCAGGAAATACCTTAAAGAGACAGTAACAGCACAGTGTGTTCCTCTTGTTCTGTTTTGTGTAACAGCTGTGTTATTTCACACGGCGGTACTGAATTGACCACAAATCTTCTGTAGATCACTTTAAACACAATATCCTTTTTACCATGTTGGTTTTCAAATGCCTGTGATGTTTGTGCGTGCACGAGTGTCTGGGTGAAAGTGAAGTGCCTGCCTTTGTAGGCAGATAAGTAAGTAATGTCCTTTTATTTTTCTTTTCATACTAAGGATAAGTATTTTTTTCATCTTTAATCAGAACCTCTATTCCATCTAAGGTACAAACGTTTGTTATGTGTATCATTAGTCACCCAAGTGTGCAAACCTACGCAGACCACCAAGGATGTGCTAAACTGATACACTAATTCTTTGGCCACTAGCAAAATAGACTTGAGACTCTTCTCCTGATCTCCTCTGTAAAGGCAGTGGAGATCCAGGACTGAAGATGAGTGTGCCGTTTAGCTCCAGCATGGAAAGGTGATGCTGATAGTGCACTGTGTGAAACACTGATCTTCCTTCCTCCCATCCTTGTGCAGGCCAGTACCAGTCGAGAGCGCTTGCGGAAAGCATGCTCACAACCAGCGAGTTCTTAAAAGAGATCAGTTACGAGCTCATCACAGGGAAAGTTAGTTTCCTGGCATCGCATTTCAAAAATACATCTTTAGGTGAGTGATTTGGAGGAAGGTGGCGACTGCCCTGTTTCTTTAATGCCTGTCAAAGCACGTATGAAATACAGCTCTCCCCTCTCCAGTGTGGGGCATTATTTCTTTTGTGCAGTGTGAGTTTTTTGGAATTCATATTGGTAAATCACTAAATCAGAGAGAAACATTCTTGCTCCCTCTTGCTCCTGTTTCCTTTATCACCAGCTTCCTGCCCCTTCACAGATTTGACAACAGCTGCGTGAGAACATGTATCTGTGTCATGTTCTACATCATTTGTCTTTAAACTCTTCCAGATAATTTGCTGTTGTTAATTCTTAACCAGGTGATGATTTGGACAAGCTGCTAGAGAAAATGCTACAGCAGCGAGGAGAAAGTGTCATCATTCCTTTTAATGGAGATGTTAGTGAGTGTGTGTCGTCTCAGGAGGCAATTGCCATGGTTTCTACACAAGAACCAGGTAATATTTTTACACCCAAGATGTAAAATAAGTAAATAGTTTGTTAAATGACAAAGCGCATGGGCCTCAGAAGAGTCTAAGGCACAGCTGCAGCTACTATGCCAGCCTTCCAGTATTAATACTACCAGCTGAATGAAGCAACACAGCAGTCTCTTGGACACAAAATCTGTATAATAACCTTCAGCAACAAATATATATATATATTTAAAAATTCCTAGATGAAAGTGCTTGATCTTCTGCTTTGCCTTAACCAGAGTAGAGATAACCTGATAACTTCGGCAGTGTGGTCTCCTCTCACCTAGAAAAATAATATAATCATGAGTTTAAAGCAAAGGGAACTGTGTTTTGCTCCTGGTCTCCCCAGGGGTCCTCCTGTGTAACTTTCGATATTCCTCTCTTTGTAAAGGTGTACCATGGTAGAAATCTGTACATCACAGCTTCAGGTTTTCAGGAAAGTGTTTTAAGATCTTGAATCAAAAGTTCAATGCGAGCGTAACCTATAATTTACTTATTTGAGGTGTATATTACACAGCACAACAAGTAATTAGATCCTAAGGATGAACTAAGATTGGCGCCTGAAAATGTTTGGAAGAATTTTGGAATTCTTTGGAATTCTTTGGTTATTCAGAGTTTTAACTGTCCTTTCCTTTTCGTATGACAGTTGTGATAAAGAAACTTGTGACTGAGCTGCTGTGAACACTGAGATTCTTTTAGGTCTAGTATCAAAGCAAATTCAACCTCCAATAAAGGTTTTATTTTCCCTGTGAGAGGAAGGTATGCTCTTGACTCGCATTAGTTAGCTCAAATTAATCAGCTCAGAGTTAAATCTGAATGAAAACAGGATGATTTGTAG